GAAAACAATTCCATTCACAATTGCATCAAAAAGAATAAAATTCCTAGGAATAAACCTAACCAAAGAAATGAAAGACCTATACCCTGAAAACTGTAAGAGCCTCTTAAAAGAAATTAAAGAGGACACTAATAAATAGAAATTCATTCCATGCTCCTGGGTAGGAAGAATTAATATTGTCAAAATTAAAGCAATCTACAGATTCAATGCAATTCCTATCAGAGTACCAACAGCATTCTTCAACAAACTTGAACCAATAGTTCTAAAATTCAAATGGAACCACAAAAGACCCCGAATAGCCAAAGCAATCCTGAGAAGGAAGAATAAAGCAGGGGGATCTCACTTCCCAACTTCAAGCTCTACTACAGAGCCACAGTAATCAAGACAATTTGGTACTGGCACAACAACAGACCCACAGACCAGTGGAATAGAATAGAGTCTAGATATTAACCCAAACATATATGGTCAATTAATATACAATAAAGGAGCCATGGCCATACAGTGGGGAAATGACAGCCTCTTCAACAGCTGGTGTTGGCAAAACCAGACAGCTACATGTAAGAGAATGAAACTGGATCATTGTCTAACCCCATACACAAAAGTAAACTCGAAATGGGTCAAAGACCTGAATGTAAATCATGAAGCCATAAAACTCTTAGAAACTCTTAGAAAAAAACTCTTAGGCAAAAATCTCTTGGACATACACATGAGCAACTTCTTCATGAACATATCTCCCTGGGCAAGGGAAACAAAAGCAAAAATGAACAAGTGGGACTATGACAAGCTGAAAAGCTTCTGTACAGCAAAGGACACCCCCAATAGAACAAATAGGCATCCAACAGTACGGGAGAATATATTCATAAATGACATATCCGATAAAAGATTGACATCCAAAATATATAGAGAGCTCATACACCTCAACAAAGAAAAAGCAAATAATCCAATTAAAAAATGGGCAGAGGATCTGAACAGACACTTCTCCAAAGAAGAAATTCAGATGGCCAACAGACACATGAAAAGATGCTCCACGTCACTAATCCACAGGGAAATGCAAATTAAAACCACAATGAGATATCGCCTCACACCAGTTAGGATGGTCACCATCCAAAAGACAAACAACAACAAATGTTGGTGAGGATGTGGAGAAAGGGGAACCCTCCTACACTGCTGGTGGGAATGTAAATTAGTTCAACCATTGTGGAAAGCAGTATGGAGGTTCCTCAAAAAACTCAAAATAGAAATACCATTTGATCCAGGAATTCCACTTCCAGGAATTTACCATAAGAATGCAGGAGCCCAGTTTGAAAAACACATGTGCACCCCTATGTTTATCGCTGCACTATTTACAACAGCCCAGAAATGGAAGCAACCTAAGTGTTCATCAGATGAATGGATAAAGAAGATGTGGTACATATACACAATGGAATATTATTCAGCCATAAGAAAAAAACAAATCCTACCATTTGTAACAACATGGATGGAACTAGAGGGTATTATGCTCAGTGAAATAAGTCAGGCAGAGAAAGTCAAGTATCAAATGATTTCACTAATCTGAGGAGTCTAAGAACAAAGAATAAACTGAAGGAACAAAACAGTAGCAGATTCACAGAACCTAAGAATGGACTAACAGTTACCAAAGGGAGATGGACTGGGGAGGATGGGTGGGAAAGGAATAAGGGGGGAAAAAGGGGCATTATGATTAGCTCACATGGTGTCGGGTGTGGGGCACGGTGCGGGCAAGTGCAACACGGAAGACAAGTAGTGATTCTATAACAGTGACTATAATGGGGTATGTGTTGGGAACTTGATAATGGGGAGAGTCTAGTAACCATAATGTTGCTCATGTAATTGTACATTAATGGTACCAAAATTAAAAAAAAAAAAAAACTTTAATGTCCAGATGAGTCACTTGGGGATCTTAATAAAAATGCAGACTCTGACACAGGAAGTCCAGGGCAGGACATAAGATTCAGCTGTTTTTTTTTGTTTGTTTGTTTTTAGTTTTTATTGAAGTATAGTTGATATACAATAGTGTAGGAAGCATTCCTTTTCTCCACACCCTCACAAACACTTGGTATTTGTCTTTTGAATAGTGGCCATTCTGACTGGTGTGAGATGATATTGCACTGTGGTTTTGATTTGCATTTCCCTGATGATTAGCGATGTGGAGCATCTTTTCATGTGCCTGTTGGTCATCTGGATTTCTTCTCTGGAAAAATTTCTGTTCAGGTTCTCTGCCCATATTTTAACCAAGTTATTTGATTTTTATGTTGTTGATGCATATGAGTTCTTTATATATTTTGAATGTTAATTCCTTACTGGTGAATTTACAAATATATTTTCCCATACAGTAGGCTGTCTTTTGGTTCTGCTGACAGTGTCCTTTGCTGCACAGAAGATTTTTAGCTTGATATAGACCCATTTGTTTATTTTTTATTTTGCTTCCCATGCTTGGGGAGATAAGTCCAGAAAAAAACTGCTTATGCTTATGTTCAAGAGATTTTTGTCTATATTTTCTTCTAAGAGTCTTATGAAATGTCTTGTATTTAGGTCTTTAATCCACTTCAAGTTTACTTTTGTGTATAGACTTCAACAGTAATCCAGTTTCATTCTCTTGCATGTTGCTGTCCAGTTTTCCCAACACCAGTTATTGCAGAGACTGTCTTTTCCCCATTGTGTATTCATGGCTCCTTTATAATATATTAATTGACCATCTATGTGTGGGCTTATTTCTGTGCTGTCTGTTCTGTTCCATTGATCTATGGGTCTATTCCTGGGCTAGTATCAAATTGGTTTGATTACTGTAGCTTTGTTAGTATAGCTTGAAATAAGGGAGTGTAATATCCCCAGCTTTGTTTTCTTTCTCAAGATTGCTTTGGCTGTTTGGGGTCTTTTGTGGTTCCATATGAATTTTAGGATTATTTGCTCTAGGGCATTGAAAAATGTCATTGGTATTTTGATAGGAATTGCACTAAATCTGTAAGTCGCTTTGGGCAGGGTGGTCACTCTGTCAATATTAATTCTTCCTATCCATGAGTATAGGTTAGATTTCCATTTATTTGTGTCTTCAACCTTGTCAGTGTTGCTGGTCCAAGGGGAGCACATTGAGGGGTATGGTTCTAGAAGGGAGAAAGGTGGAGGGGAGGTCAGCATTACTCTAACCCTAAACCTAACCCCTTGGTGAAACCTGTGTTCATGATGACAAAACCTGTGTTCATGAGGCAGTGGGTAAAAATAAAAGGAGGCTCTAAAGCAGGAGAAGAGAAGTAGCTGAAGAGGTCCTTGGAGAACCAGGACCTGTTGGGAAGCACTGAAGGAAGCATGCCAAGGCAGAACAATCCACAAGAACACCTGCTAAGAGACGAAACAGGGTCCAGCTTGTTTCTCAGCAAAGGGGCTGCTAATGAATGCACTGAGCAGTTTCTGTAATCAGTGCAGACTCATACTCTTGGGGAATAGGGAGTGAATGTAAGTAGAATCAGTCTCTCCCTTTTACTAGAAAGACACAGAAAAAACAATAGCTAAGACCCATGGTAATTCCAGTGCAGGAAAATCCTAGGGCAAAATACCTTTAAAACCGAAATCAGTCAAAGGGAGAAATAAAGTGGGAAAAACCCATTTATTTCTCACAAGCAGTCTACTTCTGCTCTCCTGTGTCTCTCGCCACCCTACTGAGGAAGTAGAGGTCCCCACCCAACCTCTCCAGTGCAGATAAGCCCTGGCTTGCCCTCTAATTACCTATTGATATGGAGATGGTCTTCTCTCCACCCCTTGGAAACACCTATTGTGTGTGATACACTAAAGCCAAGGGAGAGATTCTGGAAATACTGAAATTTTACCCATACCCACGTTAGAGCAACTCAAAGAAAGTTGGTGGGGTGGGGGAAACAGTTTATGGGGATCCTCGGGGGTGAGACCTGAGTCCATGATTTCTGCAGAAAGGGAAGGCATGTGGGGGAAGTCAGCCCAGAGGATATTGACGGTTTCTCTGCCAAATAAAAGAACACAGTGACTGAGTGTCAGCTGCATGGCAGCTCCAGGAATAAATATGACACAGATTCGAGCATCAAGGATCTCAACTGTCCTGAGTACTGAGGACCTCAGTGTCTCTCCTGTGAAATCTTGAGAGGGCAGTAAACCAGGCACGGATTCATGATTAGCAGTCTTTTCTACATAAGGCCCAATTTGGGAAAAAGATATATAATGGTCATCAATTTTCTTCACAATTACATTTAAGCATTATCTATTTCTCAGGCACTGTAGGGTTCCATCTTTAGGCTAAAGTTCAGCAAATAGCTTCACTAGTGAGACAGGTACCGTGAGTGTAGTCAGAGTAGGGTGAGGGCCTCTGGAAAAAGACCCCTACCAAAACTACATACTAAACAATTAAACAAAGACAGAGTCACATTAATTCTCTAAAATAAAATATCAAACTAAGAATATAAGCATTCTTCAGTGAAGATTAGTTAAAACTAAAAAGCCAGGAATAACCTGGCCTGGAATGTTTGAATATCCCCCAGATAAGAAAATACCTCAGCATAGCCCATGTCTTGTTTGTGTCAATTGAATGAGGCTACTGTAAAATTTACTTTAGCCTGCTAAAAGGCTCAGTTAATCTTTAACTTTACCCAGATGCTGCTTTTCCTCCTCCAGCCCTAATCAAGTCAGTAACTCAGCTCACCTTGAAAGCAAAACAAGCAGCCTTGACTGATATGCTCCCAAACCAAGAAACTGCTATTCTGAGAAAGGATCAAAACAGTAAATTTCTTATGTTAACTCCGCAAAATAGTCTGGAAAACTGATAAGAAACTTAGTGTCTCTTTAAAAATAAACACTTAGAGACCATCTGGTGGATCCACATCCCTAACTCTTGGTCTCTCAACTGCCTATAAACCCCCTAGACAACGCACCGCCACGGACTCTCTTGTCCCCTCCTGGTGTAAGCCAGGAGCTCTGATCTTTCACTTTATCTCTAAATAAAAGCCTGTACCCTGCTCTCCTACCTTGAGTGTTTGTGAAGCTCATTTGTCGGCTTCGTGAACAAGAACCCCGGCATCACTAGTAGCACTAACTGCAGGATGAGATGACACCACCAGCGTGTGAGGAAATGTTGAGGTGACACCCAGTGCAGGGGGTGACGCAGCTGAGGCAGACGGCATCAGGACACAGCACAGACCAGGACAACCACGAAAACGCTGGTCCCTTGGAAATTCTACATCTGATGGCCACCGGAGGATGGGGCTGCCCTTTCTGTGGGAACGTGTGGGGGTTGTGAAGTGGCAATGCGCAGGACCGGGAGGAGAGCGAGCTGGGGCGCTGGTACAAGAGAAATTTCATCCTTCCCTATCGCCTGTCTGCCTAAAAACAGTTACAAGAGGACACAGGGGCTCAGGATCCACCCAACCCATCTTCTGAATGAACTCCGCAGTCCATTAAGCTGCTGTTAAGATTTCCAGAAAAGTAGAAGGTCAATCTTCCCTCAGTTATGGTCCTGAAACCAGCCCACGTGGGGTGGAGGTGTAACTTTTGTCCTGAGTCTCATTCATATGCAAATATTCTGAAGCACAGCAATCAAAGAACAGCTCCAGGGAGTAGACAAGATTTACACGCACAGTGAAGAAGCTCACTCCCCTTCGGTTTTAAAAATGTGTAGAGATCACAGAGATTCAAGGATGCTGCAGGCAACTTGGCTTCCTGGGGTTCAGCTTCCCTCTAGCTCCAGCCAACCTCTCCTCTGCAGGGCTCTAGGGTCCTTCTTCCTCCCTGGGGTAGTCCGAGCCCTAAAGCAGCCTGGCCCCACAGAAGGTCGGAGCATTCCAGCTGTTCCTTCACGGATGTGTGTTAACACGGGCAGAGCTGGGGCTCTCACAAGTGGCTCTGCTAACACACCTCTGAGAATGACTGAACAGCACAGTCCATCTGAGAAGCCCCACCACTTAACCCCCTCCACAGTTTTCTGACACATTCGCAATTAAGGCCCACGTACCTCACCAAGACGGTTTTAAAAACCTTTCTGTTTTCTTGAAACTTTCCTGCCTACAGCCGCTGCCTCACCCTGGGCACACTTCCTCCCTCTCCTGTGCCCCAGCCTCCAAACTCACCTTAGTCTCTGAAAACCTGGCTCCAGCTCACCAACACCGGAGAGTCCTGCCAAGCCCTGGCCCTTCCATGAAGCATGTCTGAAATTTCACATCCTCCAAAGGCACACTCACCCCTCATGAATGGCTTCTTTCTCCTCAGGCCTATGGCTAGATCTGCAAAACATTCTCACTCACATTCGTGTATTCAGAAAATATTTATGAGGGCTTACCGGGTGCCTGGCGACTTTGTAAGGTGCACTGACAATTCCAAGATGAGTAAAGTAGGCAGTCCTGTTCCCAGGGAGCTTGCAGTTCAGTGAGGGAAGCTAGTGGGTAGACACACCGCTAAATGGTAGGGGCTATATTTGGGGTGTTTCCAAGTACCACGGAAGGCCAACCCGCACGTGGGATCCTGGAAGAGCTTTTCGAAAGGCAAATGGGGAGGAGCATTCCAGGCAGGTGAGCAGGCAGTCACAGGCCTAGAGGGCTCCTGGCCTGATGAAGGACTACCAGCATCAGCTGGGCTTCAGGGCAAGGCTGGGCAGAGCAAGGGGAGGGCAGTGAGGCTGGATTGGAGAGCACGGACCACAGCAGGGGGGATCTTGCATGCCATGCTGAGGAGTTTGGCCTTGATCTCTCAGCAGATGGGTCCTTTTAAGAAAATTACTCTGGTGTGGTGACTGCGGCGGTTGGCACAGGGAACTCCAAGAGTGAAGGTGCCTCCCACAGGGTCTGATGCACTCAGGAACGGAACAGAAATTTCTGTCTTTCCTTTTTAACATTTTTTTTAATTGAAGGATAGATGATAATACAGTATTATATTGTTTTCATATGTATAACAGTGATTCAACATTTATATATATTGTGAAATATTCACCATAAGTGCAGTTACCATCTGTCACCACACAAAGTTATTACAGTGTTATTGCCTATATTCTCCATGCTGTACTTTTCATGCCTGTGATTTATTTACTTTACAATTGGAAATTTGTACCTCTTTATCCCCTTCACCTGTTTTACGTTTACTCCAGGCCCCCCTGTCCCCATGGCACCCACGAGTTTGTTCTCTGTGCTTATGAGTCCATTTCTGTTCTGGACAAGGATGTCTTTCATGAGGAGGAAGCTAGAAGGCTGTTAGGCTAGTCAGGTGAGAGATGACTAAGGCCTCTGCTGAATAGATGACTGTCTTCAGAGTATTTATTTCTTCATTTATGTGTGTATAGTCTCTCTCCTTCACTGGAATAGAAGCCATGAGATGGCATTTTTGTCATTTCTACTGTTTATTATAAGCCCAGGACTTAGCGCCTAGACCCAAAGAGGCATTCCATAAATACATGAATGAATAAGAGCATCTGGCATATGATTTTGATGCCAGGATTCTTGTTCACTAAACTGAAGAATACTCAAGGTAGCAAAGCAAGATACAGGCTTTTATTTAGAGATACAGTGAAAGGACAGAGCTCCTGACTCATGCCAGGAGGGGACAAGAGAGTCCAGAGTAATGCGTTGTCTAGGGGTTTTATAGGCAATTGAGGATTTTTGAGAACATGAAAAAACCTTAGGGGTGTGAACTTATTAAGTGGTCCCTGAATATTTAGAATTAACTTAACACAAGCAACAACTTCCTGCTCTGATGATTTCTTCCTGAGATACCAGCATGTTGGTCTGGGGGCATATGAAACAAGGCTGCCTGCCCAGCCCCCAAGGTGGGCTGAGGTATTGCTTGCTAGAGAGTAAGTTAAGAATTTCTAACTTCTTAACTTCTTGGGTATTAAAATGCAATCTTATCTTTAAGGTGGAATCCTTCCTGCCTTTTACTATGTTGTTTACAGCTGGGTCTGCATGCTAAATTAGTTGCCCAATTTGCAAAATCACCTCATCAGATCTGAAGGAGGAAAGACAGCATATAGGTCTGGGCCTTTTAGCATGCTAAAGTGAATCTTACACATGATTATAAATGATTAGCATAATAAAAACATGTATTGCTCTTCTTTATCTGGGGAATATTGACTGATCTCACTGAAGTATGACTCTAGAGCTCATTGTTTAACACAGCGTTTTGGTAGGGGGTTTCCTTGCATGTAGTTACATTGCTCTGACTGCAAATATCCTGCCTTACTTTTTCCAGAGGCCCTCACCCTACTCTGACTACAGCCATGGTCCCTGTCTCAGTTTGACAGGTGACTGATAGGGGCTGGGTAGTGGGAGGCAGAATTGTGGGTAATCCCTGCACTAGTGCTGTGATCCCCGAAACAAGGCACCAACAGAGCTGGTGACCATATTAGTTTTGTATTGCTGCTGTAACAAATTATCACAAATGTAATGCACACATTTGTTCTCTTATACTTATGGAGTTCCAAAGTCTAAAAACTGAAATCGGTTTTACTGAGCTGAGGAAGCTCTTTCTGGGGGGTGTTAGAAGAGAACCCACTTTCTCGACTTTTCTAATTTATTGAGGCTACCTTCATTCCTTGATTCCTGACTCCTTCCTCAAATCACTCCAACCTCTTGCTTCCATCTTCAGGTCTCCTGTTTGCTCTTTTTTACCCAAACCCTCCTCTGCCTCCCTGTTACTAGGACACTTGTGATTACATTTAATGCCCACCTGGATAATCTGGGATAATCTCTGCCTTTCAAAATCTATTTGGTCACATCTGCGAAGTCCCTTTTGCCATATAAGGAAACAATCATAGGTTCTGGATACTATGCCATGGGTATCTTTGGGGGTCGTTATTTAGCCTACCAAGCAAATGAGGCGGTTAGTAGGCCCTTGAGTGAGCCTGCTTAGAAGCTGATAGTACTGAACCTGTTCACCTGAGAGGCAGGGAAACCTAGGGTTGGTAGCACAATCTAGAACCAAACTTCCCAATTGAAAGCTCTGCTACTTATCTGTGTGGCTTTGGGTAAGTTCCTTAACCTCTTTACACTTCAGTTTCCTCACCTGTAAAATGGAGATAAAATAACTGCCTTAGTAAGGTTGCTGAGATGAGTTAAAACACAAAAAGCATGTAGGGAGACTAACGCCAGTCACACAGTAAGACCTTGGGAAGTGTTAACTATTTGGGACAGCCCACAGAGAAAACCTGGAGATGCTCTGATCCCACTTCTCAACATGAAGTGTGTCAGCAGTTCAACCCTAAAGAAGCAAACTACACTGGGAGCATGAAGTCTCTCCCATATAGGGGAGACGGAATGACAGGGTGGTGAAGCATTGCTCCATAATGCTACTCCACACTGCAACTCAAAGCTCTACAATGGAAACTCTTCACTACCACCATCTTCCAGTTTTAGATCATCTTTCTATAAATTCCCCAGAAGCAAAAGGGAAAACAATGCCCCCTTTTTTCATACATCCCCTATCCAGTGTTTAGTAAGAATTCCAATCCTGGCAAATTACTTTATTTCCCTGGGCGTTAGTTTTCTCATGTATAAAATAATAATAAAGTCAACACTAAAATAGCCCTTCATGTATGCCAGGAACTTACCTAAGCGCTTCCTACATTTGAATCCATGTAATCCTTACACCATCCCTACATTACAGCATCTGTTATTGTCTCCATTTTACCAATAGGAAAATTGAGGACCAGAGACTAAGAATAACAGCAGGAACAGCCCAGCTAGGAAGCTGCCCGTTGGCGCCTCTGCTGTGGGACACTCAGGGCAGCCTCTATGAAGACTCGTTCCTCAGCCATCCCTGTATCTTTAGGTCACTAAATCCCAAGCTATTCCTGGGTAGGCAGAACCTAAGTAATGTGCCCACATATGCCCATATTCATCAGGAATTGAGGACAGACCATATCTGGCTTCTTACAACACCCCTATGGAAGCTTAGTCATGCCTCCAATCAAAGCTCAAACAATGGGTGGTTTGCCCATTTGTTATACACTGTGTAACCAATCATAGCACATTAAAGCAATAAACATTATCCCACAGTTTCTGTGGGTCAGGAATCTGAGTACAGTTTTGATGGGTCCTTTGGCTAAGGGTCTCTCACAAGGAAGCAATGATGTTGTCAGCCAAGAGTATAGTTCTCTCAAGGCTCCAATAAATAAGGATCCACTTCCAAGTTCATTCATGTAGCTGTTGACAGAATTCAACTCTTTGCTGGCTAGCCAGAATCATCAGTTTCCTGCTGCGTAGAACTCTGCATAGGGCTACTTCCCTCC